AACTTTCAATTCAGAAAAAGTTATTATTCAACAAATTTATAATTAACGTTGAAATTGGGATGAAAATGTTTTGACTGCGGATTATTGTTTATTGATGTATCCCAACATCACATGAATTTTTTCATTCCTCAATATTTACATTTAATATGTTTAAATCATTTTTTTTGTTTTTATGTCAGAGTGACGAAAGGCGCGCGGAAGCCAGACTACCCGCTTTTGGCTCTATCTTCAGGGCTCTGCAAAAATTATAAATAAGCGAGATACAGTTTCGGGAATCGGGACTCTTTTTACGCAAATTCATTGATCTTTTCAAATTTCCAAAATTTTTAAAAATTTCCGAGATATTGAGAAAAAACTAAAGCCCCATTTTTTTTTCACTCAATATACGAATCGAATAACACCTTGGTCGTAATTTTTGGACAGGGCTGAAAAGTGATACAAAAAAAGTACATGTGAACTAGACTATATCCATTTATCACCAAACCTTTTAGTCAGGTGATTAGATACTCGTCTAGTAGTGTGCGGTGGAGCACCATCATGTGGAAACCAGATGTTGTTATAGTTAGCCAAAGGGAGATCATCCAAATAATTTTCGAAAATTGATATTAAAAACTGGTGATTGGTTTCTACATTTAGAATTCCCTCAAATGAATGGGGACCCAAAATTCTACCTTTGTGAATTCCTGCGCACACGTTAATACTAAATCGCACTTGAGGTCGAATTTCTCGCAACTGCCTGGGGTTTATACTCCAAATGTGTTCATTATTTCGATTCAATATCCCACAATTCGTAAAAGTGCTTTCATCTGTCCAAATTACATTTCCGAGGCAAACAGGAAAATCAGGTTTTCTTATTAGCCAATTACAAAATTTTAGTTGCCTTCCCCGATCACCTGAACGCAATTTTTGAGATATGTGTATTTTTTAACATTTTTAACCGCTTTTTTGAGATGTCTCCAAGCACTTGTATGACAAATATTCATTTCGAAGGAAATTTGACGTGCAGACTTCATGTTTATCTGCAAATTATTAATTTTTATTGAAAAGGACGCCACGTCCAACTTATCTCTTACATACCTCTTTTATCAAATTTTCTTTTAGTTTCCTGGTCCATTCTGTCTCCGTATTTTTTCCTCGGCTTTTTAAATGAACCAAACTCGGTGAGATTTTGATCCAATAACTGGAACAAAGTTGTGGTTGTTGTCTTTCGGGATAGAAGTTGAAAAATATTTCCGATGTCCTAACACTGTTTCTATCGTTTTTGTAATAAATTTGTATCATATATCTTTTTTCTTCATTCGTGAAAGCCATTTTTTGTCAAAAATTCAATGACTTGTACAATAACAAAATGTCATTAAATGCAACAAATTGAAAGTCAAATTTAGAAACATCAAACTCAAAGCCTATTATGGTAAGAATTTTTTTTAATATCTAAAATTTTTCTAGAAAAAATGATAACTTATGATATATCATTGAAAAGGTAAAATCTGGTTCTATTCAAAAGAGAAAGAATCCATTGTATGTAGCGTCCATAGGAAAAAATAAAGTTGATGATGGTGGATATCGGATAGCAAATTTGAAAACACCATTATGTAGCAATGTGGCAATGTGGAAGTGCAATTCATTTACGGATCCTTCGAAAAATATAGCCGGAAAAAAATAAAAACCATTTTCCGAAATTTCTGTTTTTTCCGAATATCTCCGAATATACTCGGAATTTCAGAACTGCGCAACTTTGCTCCAATTTAATCATCTTCGTATATCTCATAGTTTCCGAGATCCCAATGGTGAGGATCGAATTCGAAACACCCTGTATACTCATGATTCGTCACTATTTATGACATTTTCAAGTGAATATGGATCGCTGTTAACGTCATTCAACAATTTCCAAGCGATGCTCAGGCGACGGTTTTATTTTTGTTAAAAATTCAGCGATTTCGTAACGAACTTTGCTGTAACAAGTTTCATGCCCAAATTAAAAAAAATGCATATCATGAACCAATTGCCTACTGCCGACATCCTCAGTAACTTTTCTATTAGTGATCTGACGATTCTCCATAACAATTTTCTTCACTTTCTCAACATTTTCATCTGTCATTGATGTGCTGGGGCGTCCAGAGTGAGCGTCGTCATTCATATCTTCTCAACCTTCTGTGAAAACCTTATATCACTTGTCAATATTTTCCTGAGTATAGTCACCGTATGCCCCTGTCAACATTTAATTTTGCAATGACCATTATATTATATTGTTCACAGGTAGAAAACAAGTTGTTTTAGCCAGAAAAGAAGTTATACTATCTGCTGGTTCTATAAACACTCCCCAAATCATGATGCTCCAAAAAAAGTTATCTTAGTAACGGAAATCAACTTCGATGAGAAAGAAAAAATGGAAATTCCTCACCATATGTGTTTTGTTTTTTGGATGTTACCAGCAACAGACTGTTTGAGGGTTCGGTAGAGTCTGATTGTAGTCTGTAGGGTTGGAAAACGAGACAGTTCCGCTGTTTGGTCATCTGTCTGTGGAGTAGGGAAGGTGAGTGTAAGCCCACAGCGTCGGCAGGTGTAGGCCAAGAATCACCGAACACACACTCTCTTATTGACGATAACTCCGGGCACTCGCATAGGACATGCCTGACAGTCTCATCTTCCTGTTCACACATTCTGCATAGAGGTGTGTCTACTAGCCTCATATTATGGAGGTGTTTTCTCAGTTGACAGAGGCGTGTCAGAAATTCTACTGTCAAGCGTAGATTTTTCCTGGTCATCGCCAGATATTTCTTCGGCGCCAGCTTCCTAGGGTCGCCTAAAGTGAACCTGGCAAGATTGCATCCTTTGATTCCATCCCATCTCTTTAAGGATTGAGAATGGGTGTAACATTTGACTATTTCCGCAATTATCGAAGTCGTCAGGCTGTAGGTGCCACTGGGTCCTAAAATTTTTAGTCCAGCCGCTTCCTTGGCTAAAGAATCGGCAATGCGATTACCTTTACTCCTGTCGTGCTCTTTAACCCACCTTAGAATAATGTTATTATCTACCGAAGCTTTGGCTAAATCTTGGTGACACTCTAGTACTAGCCCTCAGGTTATACGTTGTCTGTTGATAGGGCTTGTCTGCTGTCAGTGCATATTGTTATGTTTTTGCCAGAAATTCCTTTCCTGGTAATTTCTTTCGTGGCAATTGAGATACCAGCCAGTTCTGTTTGGACCACGCTAGTATTTCTTCCCATACCCCACTTAATTCTTAGGCTTAGTGATCTGGAGTACACTCGACATTCTATGCCTTCTTTGGTTTTTGAGCTGTCTGTATATATGCGTATTGTATTTGTAGCATCTGACTCTGTGTTCTGTTCAATTTGTATTTTGTAGGGTTCATTGAACACAAACCTGGGTTGAATTGCATCACTGGTTGCCTGCAGCAGAGGTCGCGCAGTAAGTGCTTCCCGCCATAGGCCCAGCATCAATTGACTAATTCCTACTTCGAGGTTTACACCAGCCGTGCGCAATCGTATCATGGCCATTAACGCAACCTCCTTAACGTACAGATCCTCTGGATCACACCCGTAATTATTTCCACTGCCGCGGTTGGTGTTGTTCTCATGGCTCCTGTGATGTTTGAAGAAGCCAGTGGCTGTATTTGATACAATTTTTGTATGGCCGTTGCTCGTAGAATTTTTGGTTCCCATGCAATGGCTCCGTACGTTAATTTTACCCACACGGGGTAAAATTATCCGTTATGTGCATCCCACTGTCCTCCGACATTGCTCATAAGCCACATATGCTCTTTTTGCTCCACTCTGTAGGTGAGAGTTCCATGATAGCTTCCTGTCGAAGATAGTATCAAAATATTTCAACTCTTCAGAGAAGTTTATTTTGGTTTTGAAGATTTCGGGAGGTTTTGAGCCCGGTAAACTTCTTTTCCTGGTGGAAAGGACCATGTCAGTCTTCTTGGGAATGATCGACAGAGAGTGTTCCTTACACCATGTTTCTATCAATTTGAACCCATCCTGCGTTCTATCGCACAGTGTGCTGGTCTGCAAGATAACTATGTCATCTACATATCCAATTGTGTAGAATCCATTTTTGTTAAGGTGATTAATTAGGGTATCCAGAACTATGTTCCAGAGAAGGGTTGATAAGACTCCGCCCTGTGGACATCCCCTCTTGACTAGTCCTCTCACTGTGATGTCTTCTACATTGATACTTATTGCTCTACTAGAGAGCATCTTGAGTATCCATTCTCCTACAACTAGGTGTACATTCCCGGAGTTTAGTTGCTGGGTGATTGTCGGAAAGGTTGTTTTGTCAAACGCTCCCTCGATATCTATGAATATACCAAGGGTGGATTCTTTGTTGTCCAATGATCTTTCATATCTGCCAACCACATGGTGAATGGCCGAATCAGTAGACCTTCCCGGAGTATATGCATGCTGATTTGAATGATGTGGGTTGTGAACTAGTACTTCATCTCTACATATCCTCTCCATAGTTTTTAAGAACGATGTGAGACTAATTGGTCGGGATGCTTTTGAATAGTCCATCCTTCCTGGTTTGGGAATGAATACTACTCTTACTGGGAATATACCTCAAAGTTAGAGAGGCTCTGAATATTCCAACCAAGTGCGGCATAAGAATGTTCAGTCCCCATTGAAGTAGGGCTGGTCTTATACCGTCAGGTCCTGGTGACTTGAAGGGGAAAAAGCCCGATATAGCCCATCTTATCTTGTCCTCATCAGTTACTGCACTAGCAGATTCCCAGTCGTATTGTGAGGGTGTTGTGGGTACATCCGTCCAGTTCGTTGTTCCAGGAAAGAGAGAACCTGGGAAGTGAGTTTCCATATTATAAATATCCTGGATTCGAGAAGTATATTTTGAACTGAAGGAACTCAAACTTTTCTTTTCCCAAAACTGGTCGGCAGCAAAGACAGTATTTGAAGATCCAAAAGGATTCCAAACCAGACAAAACGTTAACGGTGGTTGGACAAACTACGTTCCTTGGAAAATACCAATGATTGTACTTGTCCGTAGCATAATAGAAACCGGCAGATCTACCAAAAATGATCTCAGTTGTAGTATTGCTTCGAGAAATTGAATTATTAAAATAACTCACTTCTTCTGAAATAATGCGCAACACAAATATAGTAACTGACGTGACACACTTTACTTTCGTTTCTGACCCGTCACTCAAAATCGTCTCAGGTTGACATGCTCCTGACCAGAACCATTAACACAAACTCGTCCCTTGCGCCGTGACGTACACGCTGACGAAATGTGTCTACTCTACTTACTTCTACTTTGTGTGAAGTATTCATTGAGCATTCCTTCTTTCTGAACTACCAAGTAAATTACTGGTGATTATGGAAAATGATTTCCTTCAATAATACTTCGTTTTTCTTCAGACTACACCAACTATGCAATAGAATACATCATTATCAAAGCTGATGTTTAGTAGATTGAAACTCTAAAATTGTATACATGTATTTTATGATTTCCACAAATAAATGATACATTTCATTTTCATTAGTTGTCAGTATTTTAATTTAAGTTTAAAGTACTCGAACGACCTATAAATAGTCATCTCTCGGAGGAATCAGTCCAGTCATCACCCGAAGACGATTGTAGATACTAACAATCGAAACGTCGTGAACTAATGTGACTTGGAGTCTCTCTACTTTTCATTTTTATTTTCTTTTTTCACTTCTTTATTTTTATTTATTCAATTGTTCTATTTTTACTTGTATTTTATTTCACTATTTTATATAGTAGACTATGGAAGTCCGAACTAGTGAAATTCATGTCAAATTATACATTTACATATGACGTCTATCGGGATTTTTTTATATAACATGTACAGTAACCGAAATAATAGAAAAGAAATTTATTTATACTGAACAACAAACAGAATGGTTTCCACTTATATGATGCACAGTTTTATAAAGTTCCTTACATATAGTATTCATTGAATACCATTGATACAGTTAAAATCGATATAGAATATAACAATTTTTAAACAATAAATAATGAAAGGTTACAGTTCCTCACCATTTTGTTAACAGTTTCGAAACATTGTTGAAGAGGAGATACATTGTTCCATTTTGCTTTTACACACTGTACAATTCAGTGTTCATATAAGTAATTGTTTCAAAAATGATTTTCTCTCGTAGAAAATTCAATAAATTTTTGATAGATATTTCATACTTGTCACTAAACTTCAGTTGGCGACAACCTTCCTTGAATTTAATACTAACGCCGGCTATGAAAAGCGACTGCTCGAAACCAATATTATGCAACCAGCGTTCCATGTAATACGTATACAGCCTGTCGCTGAAATGAATGATGGGAGTTTTTTAAGGAATGTCGAATCTATACTCTGAGACTGGCGTCGCGACGTCTGGGAGTCGTGATCTCCGCCATCGAGTTTTGTACGGGCGAGCAACATTTTTTGGTACGACGACGTAACTATGAGGAAAGGAACACCATAAACAACAATGTGGAAGCCTCAAGGCATTACTAACTAATTGGATTCTGATTTGTTATTATTCGATACATTGTATTCATGTAACTTTATTTGAACTTTTTTTTCGTTTTGAGAAGAAGGCAATATATTTCTATTGAATTTTCAGTCTGAAAGAAAAAATATATTTTATTCAGTGTGTGTTAAGCTTCAGAGAATTTACTGTGACAAATTGAAGAAGTAACTGTCTTCAGTCTTCATGCTCGGTCGTGGAAGATGGTTGTCGTACACCAAAATCTTTTTTGATTGACTTTTGATGCGGTGCGTTGCCTGATGGAATAAAATTTTTTCTTCGTCATATGAGGATGTTTCTTTGCAATTTTGGCATTCGAATGCTCCAATAACGCTATATAATATTCACTATTGATGGTATTTTCCTTCCCAAGATAGTCGATGAATATTAAACCACGCACATCCCAAAATACCGAGGCTCTAACTTTGCCAGCCGAATGTCGTGCATTCGGGCGCTTTGAACGAAGTTTACCAGTTGCTCTTCACTCAGATGACGATCGTTTTGATTCCCGAGTAAAGTGATGGTTCCATGTTGCATCCATTGCCACATATCGACGAAGAAATTCCGGTTTGTTATATTTAAACATACGAAACACTGTTTAGAATCATCAAGACGTTCTTGTTTTTGGTCAATTGTGAACTCGCGCGGCACCCACTTCGAACAGAGCTTCATCAAAGTCAAAGGCTCATGCAATATAAAGTCAACACGTTCTGTTGATATATTATAATGTCAGCTAACTGACGCAACTTCACTTTTCGATCATTCAAAATGATTATGTGGATTATTTTTGTGGTGTTACTGCCTCATTTGGACGTCCACTGCGTTCTGCATCATCGGTGTCTCTACGACCACGTTTGAAGTCAGCAAATCAACGTTCAATTTTTGTTTCTGATGGAGCGAAGTCCTTATAACCTTTTTCAAGCCATTTGATCCATCCACAATTACTTACAAATTATGAGTAGGGTAACATGAAGTTTCAACGGCTTTCTTTTGAAGGTTAGTGCTAACTGAAAAAGCGGTGAATGCAATCAGACTAGCGCCATCTATGTGTTGGCCTCGAAACTTTCCAGCCTATGTAGTAATTTTTCACTAATTCGAGTATTACATTTAATTCAACTGTTATGTCTGCCGAAGTGAAGACTTGCGTTCTAATTTGATGATGTGTTATATCCATTACCTTACTTGAAGTCTAATCATACACACTATTAATTGATAGTAATTAAAGAAATGAAACCAATGATAGTTGTACTAACGAGACCTATTAGTGAATTCAACAACAGTCATTATCTGAATTAACAAACCTTGTACTCTGTCCTAGGTAACAGATCTTGGCCGGACATCCAATTCCACATGGCACCAGCGAGTATTAATTCCGATGCAGGTGCGAGAGTCCGAAAAGTTTTAGGAATCACCGACGAGCTCTACAACACCGTCTACAGGCCGATAGCGAACCAAGATGTGTACACATTGATGCCTCTTCTGCTTAGACCACGATCTAGAGGTTGGGTCAGACTGAGAAACAAGAGTCCCTTCTCTGCACCACTTATAAATGCCAATTACTTCGATGACCCGATCGATGTCAAAACTTTGGTAGAAGGCGAGTAGAAAAGGATTGTTTATTGACACGTATTCTTATATTTCTCGTATTATTGATCGTATTTCATTAAGTGATAACTTCTTATGGGGCCGTAACCTAACGCGTAACGGCCCCAGTTTGTCTGTCTTCCCTTTCAATCACGCATACGTCAGCGAAAGGTAGGCTCCTTCTCTCTCGTCAGACAGACGCTCGATATTTAGTGTGTGATAGACATATACTGTTGACAGTATTATAATCTGCAAGCACGTAATCTTTTTGTGGAACGTGGCCTAAAAATGATGATACTAATTTAGTGTAGTGTAGTAATAATATACATACAATTCGAGTAATAGCCCAAGCTTCTCTCAAGTTAAGTAATTTCAGTATTAAATAGTTCAAGTTATCACTTCTGTCGAACGTCCCGAGACGCACACGTTTTCTTATTTTTGTGCCATCGTATATAACAATTCTTTTAAATCTAAATAAGTCTGACAACTGTTTCGAAATAAATTTAGAAGTATTCGCTCGACCTCCCCTGTCGGAAGTCAACTACTTCCCCAGTCAATATCGTGATTATTACTTGAAGTTTAAGTAACAATCATGATATTGACTGGGGAAGTAGTTTAAGAATTGCAAAAGATGAAAAGCCTCATACAATAGGTGAGACGCTTTTACTGCCGGCCGCTGTGGACATTGTTCAAGCCGTGTTAAGAGAAAAGGCAGCCAAGGAAATTAAAAAAATACCACTGTCAAATAACACAGTGAAAAGACGAATTGACGATATGTCTAATAATATTGAAGAACAACTAGCTTTAAAACTCTAAGAATGCACTTATTTTGCACTTCAAGTTGACGAAAGCACTGATGTGCTTTCACAATGTGCAAATGCAACGAATCACACCTCTTCATATAACAAGGAGCTGCGCTCCTTATTTTCGTGTGATTTGATTATAATGAAGAGGTGATAGAAGAGTTTTTTTTCTGCAAACCATTTGAATCAAATACCACAGCGGAACTCATTTTTAAGGTAATTGATGAATATGTGCTCAAAGTAGGCATTCCCTGGTCCAAGTGTATTGGCTTGTGTACAGATGTCAGGAAAATTGACAGTGCTAGCAGCAAAAATGAAGGGAGTTGTTCCTGAATGCAAAAGTACGCATTGTGTCATCCATCGAGAAGCATTAGCTGCTAAAGGTATGCCGGAAAATCTTAACTCCGTTCTATCAGATGCTGTGAAAGTTATTAACTTCATAAAGGCTAGGGCTCTAAACACAAAATTATTCTGCTTGATGTGTGAAGAAATGGGTGGCAAGTTCAAAACTTCACTACTGCATACAGAAGTGAGGTCTAGGGCTCTAAGCACAAGATTATTCTCCTTGATGTGTGAAGAAATGGGTGGCAAGTTCAGAATTTTACTCCTGCATACAGAAGTGAGGTGGTTATCTCACAGGAAACTTTTGAACCGTCTATTTGAACTGAGATCAGTTTCCATGTTTTTAAGTGAAAGAAATCATGGCATGGAAAAATTGTTTGCTGATGAAGAAGGGTTGTCAAGATTGGCTTACCTAGCCGACATTTTTGACAAACTCAACACTCTGAACTTGGGGCTTCAGGGACCAAACACAACAGCCTTCACAGCCAGTGACAAAATAAACTCATTCAAGAGAAAGTTGGTCCTGTTTTGTTCACAAATACAGGAGGAGAATTTATCTGCGTTCCCCACTCTATCATAATTTTTTGAAGAAAATGAAATATCTCCAATTCCAGATGTGGTTGCAGATATCATTTTACGCAGGTACGCATGTGCCTGACTTAAACTGCAAAATGAGTTTGTAATTTAGTTATTTCATGAAATATTATAAAGTTAATGAAATTAGATATCATACTATACATGTCCGTTTAGTATAATTACAGTACTCGTAAAACAACTTGTATAGTAATAAGTCACCCACCGGACTTATAGTGGTAGGAGAGCCCAAGAGGGGGTTTTGGGATTCACTCGAGCGATAGATGAACATTGTAGGGGATACCGTGCATCATGTTGAAGCCGTCTACCATATATGAACCGCCTCAATTGAGAGCTGGGGTGATATTGCAGCCCATCAGAAATATTCGAATGTATCAGATTAAGGTATGGGGCATGCTGCTTGCACCATACCTCGTCTTCTCCTCCTGATGATACTGACTTAGTTACTGAAGATACGGCTTTCAGTGTCCCCTTCTAGTATGCTGGATCGCACGTTGAAACGCTAGGCCCTCCTGGTCGTCATCTCATTATCATACAATTTTTATCAAGCCGTATTCCTAATCCTTCATGCCTAATTTCAAAACCGGCAACGCTTCATACGTTAAATCTCTCCATTAACAACGATTTATTTTAAAAATATGTGATGCTTGCGCTGGCCCCACTAAACGTTATCTTCAGAACGGATCACCTCGATACTATCTCCATATCTCACTTACGGCAATTCGTTCTCTCACTTTTACTCTTATGGAATTTGAATTTCCCGCTGTCCGCGCGGTAGCTTCTGATTGGTCGACTTGATGATGACAAAAGTGGAGGAGTGGGGCTGGGCTACAGAGGCGCGATTACTACTGCCAAACAGACTGCCTAAAAGCGGAACTGTCCCACCCAAAGCGAGACATATGCTCACGTTATACATGCATTACCTCATGGTGCATGCATTACCTTAGTTGCACGCTCTAATCGTAATGGACTTCGGCTTGTGGAAATTGACAGAATATATTTTTTTCGTAATTATTACATTATTTTCATTAAGATAAAAAAACAAACACGCTTAAGAATGTCAAGACAACGTTAATTTAGCAACTTTGAGACCCCTCTACTCCCCTACGCGACGCTCAAACCGTCAGATTTTGATTGATGAACTCTTTTTACCTCGAAAAGAAGCCACCATTACTTAATCTGATCCATTCGAATATTTCTGATTTTTTTTATAAATCTGACAGGCTGCCCTATTTGCCGGTCTCTTGATTGAGGGTTCATATATGGTAGACCGCTTTAACAAGATCTTCTCCTAAGTTTTATCTGTCGTGCTCGAGTAAATCCCAAAATCCCTTTTTGGGATTTCCTATAACATCAAAAACTTATCCAATACAGTATATTAGGCATAACAACAAATATCTGAAAGTGGAACACTATTTTCCAGTAATATTTGACCAATTTATATAAACCCAACAGTTAACAAGGCCCCCTTCTAAGTTTATCTGTCGCGCTCGAGTAAATGCCAAAATCTCTTTTTGGGATTTCCTACATCAAACACTATTCCAATACAGTATATTAAGCATAACAACAAATATCTGAAACTCGAACACTATTTTCTAGTGACATATGATCAATTTATAAAAACCCAACAGTCAACATAATATTTACTGAAATTATAATTTTCAAAATTGTTTCCAGGTGCGAAAATAGCCATAAATATTAGCGAAGCCAAAGCGTTCAAGAAATTTGGTAGCCGCCTGCATAGCATCCCTTTTCCCAATTGCAGGCAATACGAATTCACTAGTGACAAGTACTGGGAGTGCCATATCAGGACCATATCGATGACAGTCTACCACCCCGTAGGAACGTGCAAGATGGGACCTGCTTGGGACCAATCAGCTGTAGTAGATCCTAGACTGAGAGTGTACGGCGTGAGTGGTCTGAGAGTTATAGACGCCTCAATAATGCCCACAATACCGAGCGGGAATACAAACGCGCCCGCTATAATGGTGGGAGAAAAGGGTGCGGATTTAGTGAAGGAGGATTGGTTGGGAAGGACAAGTAGTGTATAGTGTGCGGTATCGGAGAAAAAAACTGTCAATTTTCGTGTGTGAATGAGTACATAATTTTCTGTAATAAAAATGAAATTATCTGAATGTATTAGTTTTTATTTCTAAAGAACAACAAGTTAACCTCTTTTCAGAATATTATACCATATCTAGCAAAGACCTGGAATGGTTTTGGTGTTTCAGAAGCTTTTTGTGAGGCCTGTTTCATAGTGNGTACGTTTTACAACATAGATAACTGAGAGTAAAGATAATACGTCGGTATCTATTAATAAAAAAAACGTTTTACAACATAGATAACTGAGAGTAAAGATATCACGTCGGTATCTATTAATAAAAATCCTCAGATAATATGGTAATATCGGTAATTGCAAAACGCAATCCGTTCAGACAGCCACCTAGCCACTTTTATTAATCAAATATCTAGTGTAGTCTTTACGTTCGGGGCGCCGCGATAACCTTCAAAAAACATAAGAGAGCAGTGAATTCGAAAACTATCTGGTCTAGCCGATGTAAGTTCTGGGGCAGGTATAATATGGTATTTCGTATATACCCTGTGTCTCATTTCGTATCGTGTCCTTGGGTGTTCGTAAAAGTGTTGAGATTTGATTTTTGGCGGTGAATACTATTCTTACGTTAGGCCACTTCAGAATTTGGCTTACTTTATCGGTAACCCCATGAAAGTAAGGGAGAAAAAATTTTGACTGGCCAGCCTGTTCATCAGGCAGTTCGGGGTGTGACGTTTGAGTATGAGATCTTTGAATGAATCTTTGGATTAGAGAAGCCAAAGTCAGGACAATATCGATGACAGTCTATCACTCCGTAGAAACGTGCAAGATGGAACCAGCTTGGAACCAACCAGCTGAGTTTCTCCACCCCTATGAACGGACAGCCCTCAGAAGTCGGAACTTGTGCGAGCGGAGGATTAATGAGGTCTTACGTTTCAACGTGCGATTCGTAGCCCGACTCGCGATCAGAAGGCCATGGGTTCGATTCCCGCCTCGACCAGATAGTTTTCTCGAGAGAGTTTATCTTGTTGAAGCCGTGTTAGGAATCACACGTTGAAAGGTAAGATCTTTATTTTTTTGGTTTTTCATTTTATCTTTTTCAAAAAAAAATTCTACGAATTTTAGTGAAAACTGGTGGTAAAGAACATGTTGAAATAATTGGTCGTACCTATATAGAATGTGGGTCCACTTTAATGTCAACCTGCTCTTTTATATGTACTTCCACGCCAGAGTCCTTTATACAGTTGTATGAGAATTATTAAAAGTATTTCCAGACCGTTTAAAAAAACTGGAGATACCATCCTGTCCAGGAAATTTGAAGTGATAAAATGATTTGACTCGATTGCCTTTCAATTGCCAGTACTGTGATAACTTTCATGGCAATACCCAATCGTTCTTTTTGGCGCCCTTAAAGAGAGAAATTCGATTGATATCAAGAGATAAACCTCCAGGATAGTAGTTTTTTTATAAACTTTTCTCAAAGTTGTGGTTGTTTCGAGTTCGTTCATAGAATGGACTTCTGCTTCGAAAATCTCGTTTAGCATTTTTTGCATTTTTTATTTCTTTGTCTTTAGTCTTTAGTTCGATCGTACAGTGCATTTCTTTAATGTCTCCCCCCTTTTAGTGTTTGTGCGACACGTACCTTTCACGAGACCGAAAGGATTTTCAATGATCGTTTTCCGAATCGTCCTGTATGTCGAAAATATTTGAGGAAATGTAACGGTCATTTTCTTGTTTGTTGTTAAGAACTCTCACCCGTTTCCAAATCAACCCGTTTCTTGTTCAGTGTAAGTACCCTTAAGCGTTTATGATTCTATTGATATATTTTACCTGGAACGTAGGCAAACAACAAAGCCAGTTTGATCAATGGGTTGCATAGGGCTCAGTACTTCTGTTTAAAGAAAAAACTATAAGAATGATACCAATAAAGAATTTTTGGGATACTCAGATATCCCGACTCGAACCCACGACTCGCCCCATTCTAGGTGAGCTCCAGGCAGTCGTAAATTTAGGAAAACTTAAATTTGTCCTGTTTTACGTTATAGGAACTTGTATCCAAATTCACAACTACCGGCAGTGTATATAACAGAAAGCCCCCAGGTCATCGGTCCATTCCGGAAGAACAGCAAGTGCAAAGAATTGATGAGATGGTAGTAAATCCTGAACAGTCTACTTATTCCGTCACGAATGTTTGTGAGGTGTCTCCTTCTACTGTGTGGAGACTTTTGAAGAGGAATATATATCATCCATACAAAATTGAAATGGTACACGAATTAACAGAAGATGACCCTGATTGAAGAACAGGATTCTGCGAGATCATGAAGGAAACCATTGCAAGGCATCCTACCTATCTCCACAATATTTGTTTTAATGACAAATGTACATTTTTTCAAACGACAATGTTCACAGACAAAATTGCTGTTATTGTAGTGACACCAACCCTCACGTTTTCCGGGAAGCACACACCCAATATCCACAAAAAATTAACGTTTGGGCAGAAATATTGGGAAACTATATTGTAGGACCTCTATTTATTGACCAAAATTTAACAAGGTAAATGCTGAATATGCTGAGAACTACTGTTGACATATGTCAAGAAGTTCAAGGCAACCATTTCGAGAATATTCTGAACTGACCTCAAGCTTATTACCTCATATTATGTAGCTAAATGTCAATATATTTAGGCAATTATTGAAAGTTTCCCCATTTTGTAGTAGTTGAAGATATTGACATTATATTCTAGGGTTGCGAAGCATTTGTCAGGATCTTCAAAAAGATGTGTCACAAGACCCCACTTTCCTTTTTTTCTTAGATGGCGCTCATCTTTTTTGTCTAGTTTCTACTGTGTTTATTTATTCGTTACGACCGGTTTCGGCTTATAAGGCCATTTCTTCAACATCTATAGAAAAAACACCTTCACGGACTGTACAATACCGATGGATTCTTTCAGTCCATTATCACACAAATTATCGGCCTTCAGATTCTGCTCTGCATAAATGCTCTATCTATGATAGATAGAGCATTTATGATACCGTCATCAGAGGAGACTTTTCAAGAAGAAATTAAGATCATAAAGCAGATAGCGTATAACAACCATATTCCCGCCAACTTAATTGAAAAACTGATCTCCAATAAGAACAATAAATTGACCATGAAGAAACTATACCTGAATCAGGAAGAACATAAAGAAGGTAAAAAATATGCTAGCATAAGTTATTCAGGAAAGCTCTCAGAAAATATAAAGAACTATTTTTCAAAACTCAACATAAGCACATCAGTTTCTAATAAGCATAATTTAGGAAACATGTTATTTAACGCAAAACCCAAAAGGGATAAATGGAAAAAATCGGGCATATAC